AACGCATTTTACATGTTTGCTAACAGACGGAGGAACGATTAAGTTGACTCAAAATTTACAATTAAAAAACTTGCTGGGCTTTTAAATGTCAGTGCAAAAATGTGTGCAAATTAAGAGTGTTATAAGAAACATCTTAATTAAGATCAAAATGTAGCAAAGATGATATATAAAAACATTCCCAGATAGCAAAAACCAATTAGTATACATAAGCGTATCGTTCTTTTTCTTTTTTTTTTTGTTTGTTATTATTTTAATAGCTTCATTATCATTTAGGTGACAGATTGTCAAAATTTCCTAAACGTAATGTTGATTTGGTATGCTCATCGTATCAAATGCCTGTGCCAGCTATCGAAACAAATAATTTGTTTTGAACATTTCAATTGGCATGTTGCCAATGCTTTTGTGCTGCTTGTATAATATGTTGGCAATTAAAGGCAGGAGTGTAACAAGTAGCTGCCTTAACACAGCAACAGGCAAGCAAGCGTAAAGTGATGATATTGTCGACGGGTCGGTCATTCAGTACTATTCTTATTCATTTTTTGGGTTTTCTCTCTCATTCCTTATTCGCGATAAATAACGGGACAAAATGAAATCATTCGGAAGAAGACAATAAAAACACAATAAGCATAAGAAGAAAAAAGACAAAAATTGTATTAATGGCAAGTAATAACTAGTAAGAAAATTATATTTGGCTGTGGTCGAAAGTCGCATACCCACCACTAATAAAATCTTTAACTCCCCATACGTTAAAGTACAGGTTCACCTTTTTATTCATTAAAAGATACAGTTAAGGAAAATTTAATCCACCACGCCGTGAACTCCATCTTGGCCACCATAAGAGTTAACACACTTAGTTTGTGGAATTCTACTCTCCAAATCTCTTTCTTTGATATCCATATATCGATGATATTGTAAACACAAATTAAATTGACAACGTCCTGGTGTCCATCATATTTATTTTGGAGCTAACACATTTTTAGACCGAGGAATGTGCAAAATAAAAACCTTCAAAAAATTAAAAAAAAAATAAAAAAATTTTAATCACTTACAACATTTTGTGGGCATAATCGATTTTTTCCATTTTTTCTCTTAAAAATAGTAGAGCTTTCCATAAGTAAATAGCTGTGGAAAAATTGCCGACTTCAATCTTTCATAATGTATGAGTATAGGAGAAAAAGCTGCGTTTAGTGTACGCTTTCGTGCGGGCGTGTACTTTGCCCTATTTGACCTATTCTTAATAGTGGCCGGCGTGCAGAAACTTGCATATATTTCTACCAATTTTCAAGGTGACATCTTTATATTTGCGATGAGGAAGGAGATTTTTAACATATTGATTTCGCGAGTATTGGAAAAGTTTAATTTTCGTCTCAGAACGAAGCGATCTTTTGCATATAAATAACCTTTCAGCTCATTTGTCGCGAAAATCCCACACACAGTTCCCTTTAGACTTTATAAAATATTCGAATCAGAAAAAAAAGGAAAACTATTCAAATCATGCTGTCTGCCACTCGAAAAGAAACTGACTTCAAGGTTCAAGGACCGCCGGATCTACAATCATGGATCGTTAAAAATTTGGCCATGTTTCAACATCGTTTTTGACCTTTGATGAGATTGTCTTAGTCAAGAGAAAAAATAAACGATTTTTTTAAAGAATTTACGGTGGCTTTACTCCTTGGAGTTAAATATCAAACAACTAGCAAGCTACTAAGAAAACATTCTATATTTTGGCTTTCTAAGCTCTTTTAATAAAGGGCTTACGGTTCCACTTTTACGCACCTTCGATACATATAAAAAATGTTCTTGAATCAGTGATAACAACTTTGAGAAATGATTACCTTTTATTAAATAGGGGAGAAGTTGTTTTAGAGACTTTCTAAAACACTTTAATCGCTTCAGATTTTCAATACTACTAACTTTCAACCCCTAATGAAACAAGCCATAATGCAATGCAAATGAAATTCCGCTTATCTAACGACCTTGATCGGTGAAAGTTCAAATTTCAAAATAAGTTGAACTGTTTAACTCATCTTGGGAACTTGTCGTCGATCAAATCGTTTATCATTGTTTTACGTTTAGAACACATGTTTTCAAACAATCATTGAGAGATTTAAGTAACTGTTTTCTGCACTATTGTAAATATTTGAAAAGTTATATATAACATATGCGTATTGTAGATATGTTCATGTGTAAAAATATATAGATATGTACGTGTTTTCTCATGGACAAAATAAATACGCAAACATATGTATGCAGATGTTGCACGGAGTCAACAATATTACTAACAATTGCATGTATTTTCATAAAATTTCAACAATTTCCGAGCGGACAGACAGACACAAGCACATAAATAACAAATGCTTACATATAAAAAATTTTTTTTTTTTATTTTTCACATTTTATTCGCATATTCATTTAAAGTCATGCACAAAGGCATACACAAATGCATGCAGGCATACTTAGGTGAACGCACACTTTAAACATTTATACATTGTTTAGATATTTTGAAATATCACCTTAGTTAACCCATAGAGTTTATGAGGTTCCACATCAAGAATGCTTTTGGTTTGAAAGAAGACATCAAAAGTCGTAAAAATTGTACGAGCTCAACACTAACACATTCTTAACATATCACATTATTTGTACCTGAATAAATATTTTTACTTGCATACCAAAATGTTATACATACACACATACGCATTCATACAAATAATATGTAATGACTTTTTAAATAACTTGTTGTGTTTATTATTTTTTTATATATAAACTTTAACTTTTCTCTTTTTGTAACTCGGAAAAAACAGATAAAGACAATCTTCATAGCCTATACTCTATACCCTATACCCTTATTTCCAGTACAAAGGTACATTACGCAACACTCAGAAAGTGCTGAAATACATCCAACTTTTATTATATCGTTCGGTTCAGCACTACTTTCTGCATCGATATTTATTTGTCTGTCCGTTTGTCACTCTTGCTTCCTCAGGTTCAACTTACATTTTGATGAAATTTGATACATTGAAGTGTTTTCCCCAAGAACGAACGCTATTGAAAATGGTTTGGATCATTTCCTAAAGAAAGGCCTTATTTTGAAATGTCTTTTTGTGAATAACCGTAGGGCGGAGCAGAATGGGGCCATAGCCAACTATAGTGTTTTTACTGTTGTTTTGGGGGGAATTTTCAGTCAACTCAACAAAGCAAAAAAAAAAAAAGGAAAAATGATTTATGTGAATTACATATCATTTAAGAAACTTTTTTTCAAACCACTTTACCTAAATGTTTCTTTTTCAAATAAAATCATTAAATACGGATTACAAAATACTTACTGGCTTGATTACCGCTTCCATAAGTATGAGTGATGTAAAGTGCATATGTACACTGCTAATATTCGACAAATCAGTAAAATGGAAAACCATTTATCAATTACTATCATGTTTTGGGCAGAAAAATATGCCATAAAAATATTTATTGTTTTAATAGAAGAGTTTATCATTTCAGTCTTTAAGGCGTAGTGGAATGAGAAGAGTAGCCCACATTTTTGATAGGTATTCTAAACAGGCAAAATGGAATCATTCAAGAGTATTACATAAGATGAAAGTAACTTGGCTCGACTAGAAAATAGTGCTGCTGTTCTATCAATGGAAAACGAAGGACTCAGCAAAAACTGTGAAGCACTTTTTATGAAATTAAGATTACGATTACCTTTGATGTTTGTAGTTACAAATGATTTTTGATTTGAATAAAGGATTGATTTGATTGTCGGCAGTAGTGACTAGCTAGGCTGCAGTAAGAAAGATTTCTTTGGGTGGAAATAAAAGTCTATGTAACGTAGCCTTCTTAAATCAATTTCCGATCCTAAGTCAATGTACTGATCTCCGCTGTGACGAAAGTTGAATCAAACACTGCTCTGATGGATGTCAGTAATAATTAGGTGATGAACGCGAAAAAGATTTGCGGTTGGAAACGAATATCTAACTAACAAAAGTTTTTCAAATTAGTTCCTCATTCTGTGGAATCTTTCTAGTGGCGAAAACGTGATCGAAGTTGAAGAAAACATTGCTCTGCTCGACGTCGGTAATGATTAGTTGAAAAAGGTGAAAAGGATTGATTCCTTTGGGTAAATATACAAGCCTATGTAACAAAAATTTATTAATTGCTTACTTTCCGCACAAGTTTTTCGTATATCGATTTAGGGCACGCATCGTAAGTTTTTGAAGATAAAAACGATAGTAAATAATTTAATTAAATCGCATATGGATCGTTAATGCGGTAGAGTTTATATTGATCACAGCTAGTGCTCAGTCGGTAACATTTGCCGATTGGACATAGACTCATTAGGTTGCGGCCTTTCTTCCTCACTTTCCGGCCACCACAGTATTAGGCAAACGGGGAATATCTCTTGAGTGATTAATTACATTACAAAGAAAAAATTATAATTCTTTTCTTTCTTTAAAAGTTGGCACAAACTATAGCTACCAGCCGGTGAAAGAAACTACGAAGGATATCCAGGTGAATTTTACAAGGGGAAATTTAAGCAGACACATCCAATATTACAACTTGTTTGTAAACTGTAATGTGGCCAGTTATTAAAAGGTCTTTATCTTAACAATTATTTTAGAGAAAACGACGTAAGTTTGATTAGTTTCTTCTAAATATTTGTTGTTGCTTTTGTAGCTTATCCGCATTGATTTTCAGTGTTTTTTTAGTGGTATTAATATGAGGCTATAGTTGAAATTTCTTACACGGTGTTGATACTCAATTTTCAGTTATATCTTTAGACATATATATGTTGCTTCTTTATCCCCTCTTCCCTTATCTCCCTAATCAATCTTATCTCTTCTTATCAGTTTTGCAGTTTATCCGTCTTTTCTACCTCAGGAGAGAAGTTGATCTTGTCCAACAAACATGGCAGAAAAAGAGGTTAAAATTCTCGTTCTTCGACAACAGTCAGTCAGTGGAATCATACTTGAAATAAAATAATGTCCTGATAAAAACGTACTTACCTTAACAATTAAGCGCGACAATCCGTAAGCATTTCTCAATGTTATCATCTGCTGCTTATGTAATCGGAAATCCATGGGGCTCGTCAAAGTTTCCCTTACCCTCTGAGAGAAGGAAGTTTGGCTTTATAACATTGAATTCATAGTGAAACACCGTCTATAACTTATACGCACGAACTAAAATGAAAAAAATAAAAAAATTCATATTTAATTTATGTGCAATAAAAGTATCTGCTAAATTTAATATACTTTAAAAATCAGTTCTTTAGTGGGTATGAAATTTTAAAATTTCTTAAAATATGTGTGTGTGTGTGTAAATCTTTTTGTAAATGTAATCGCTTTTAGATATATAGCTATAAAAGGTACAGACAAAAAGTTACCGGATATGTAACTCATAATAAATCATATGAAATTGCTTTTGTCATTCAATTTTCCGAGAATAAAAGTAAAAAAAAAAAAAAGGGAATATGAAAAGAATATGAATATGCAAATCTTAACAAAAATATCAATTTATTTAATTAATTTTTATCAATAAATAATTTCTTTTAAGAAAACTTCCATGTAAAAAAAAAAAAAAACACAACAAAAGAAATACAAACAATAGATGAAAAATATTATTTCGAAAAATTTCGCTAAATATATATTTGGATTTAAGCAACGATAAAAAAAAAGCAAAAGAAAAATAACTAATTAAAGGAAATTCAATTGGACTTGTTTTTTTTTTTTGACACCTTACACTTGATGGTTTTCATTGTATTTTAGTCGTAGTCTGGAAACCTAAGAAGGAATTGCAAAAGAAGTACATTGTGCAAGCATCGCCCTAAATATGGTTTCGAGAAAGTTTTGACAAGATCTTGTCAAAAAATCAATTGTTCAAGTGTACCTAGAAACCAAGTATAATTCTGTCATCCTATATACACTTCTCTTCATACAGAAAACCTTATCTGATTTTAGAGATATAGGTGATCTAACATACCCGTCATCTTCATGTTCACGAGGTTTTTGCATTTTAGCCAAAGTTTGTTGTGAATATTTTATGTCTTAATGCCAACTGTTGAACATATACAAATCTAGTATTTCTCTGTGTCTTTGTTATGCTTTGTAAGGCAAAATTTCTATCAGACATCAATGGAAATTGAATCAACTTAACATAAAAAGTGCAGATTATATTTCGAGAAGCGAGGATATGTTTAAAATACAAGTTCGTCATATTTTGTAAACATACAACTTTATCTATTTATCTATCAAGAGCGCAAAGCTAAGGATAAGCGTATATGTGACATAATATATAAAATAAATATGTATACATATATATACATGCGGATAGAAAAGGTGATATGTTCAATTCTATGTCACATAAATTATAAAAGATAACTTTCACAAAGCCCATACAACATTTTTACATATCGCAAATCTGTTCAAAACTATTTCCGCAAAATACACGCCTTCACTACTTCCTCCGGTAAGAAAGTGAAGGCGCGTTTTCCCTTTAGTAGCTATGTATAAATGCGTATGTAGACGCAACTCTTTTTTTGCACGGGTTTTTTGTAGACAATAGTAAGATAACACGTTTCACTAATGGAAGCAAATAAACTTTTTTTACACGAAATTTTCCTGCTATTACGAAACTAGTGCGCCGATATATGCCCAAACAGGTCTTACTGATTTGCTCTACTGCTGCTTGGCTGTTAATAACGAGCGAAATTCTCCATTTATTAAATCTCATAGTTGTGCTGGGCATACCCGACATATCTACTCGTGATAGCACTTTTGATCCAGTTCATAATAAACGCACACGCACGCATGTTATCAGGTAAGCAATAAATACCTGGGAAATTGATTTTTATTCCTAATTTCAATGGCAATTTTCATATGTTATATGTAATTATGGACTGTATTTGCACTGTACACTAATTTTAATAGCTTTTTGTTTGTAGTAAAAATGAATGGTTTTTGTTTTATAAATATGTAGAATGAATTTTATTATTACGTTTTTTGGAAGGTTTTTTAAAAAATGGAGTGTTTTCACTTTACACGTTTTTTTTTTTTTTTTGAAGTTGTGGAACGTATCACGAAATTTACCATATGGCGCAAGTATTTCTTTACACGATTTTTGTAAAAATGAAGATGCGACGAGATAGGCTTGAGATTCTTTTAAAATAAATGGTTTACGTCTCGATAAAAAAGTCTATATCGTCATAATAACGCTAGAGCTAAATAGTAAAATCATTTATTTCTCGTTTTACAGGAAAACTGTACTACATATAATAGGGGATCGATGTGCACATGCGTGATTATATATGGTTAGTCAGTTTATTAGTTCATCTGTTGTTTCCTATATGCTGCTATTTCCTATCTATTTGTCATCACAGAGCTAATTTTACATATTGAGTTATTTAGCAAAACTATTTGAAGAAAAATAACATATTTCACTAAACTAATGTAAAGCAAGTGTACCGCTAATATACTATTGAATCGTATATACTCTATCATTAATTTTAAATTCTAGTATAAAAATATAATATATCTCTTGTTCTGTTAACCTTTCATTATTTACCCCTTCACATTCAATGGCTTATCGAATTCACTCCAAAAAAGAAAAAAAAAATTACGTAGAAAGCTTGAAAAGCAAATGAAATGAAATGAAAGGAATGCTTAGAGAGTACTGGATGTATACAAGCTACATATGCGTACGTATGTTTGTACTTTTTTAAATTGATAAAACCTCGCGAACATGAATATAACAGATCTCTAAGAATTATGTATACATGTATGTGTATATGAAATCTATTTGAAAATTCTGTGTAACAAATTGAAAACTTATCTTATGATATGTTATTCCCTTTCAACATATTACGTATATACGTATACGATAATGCTGTGAGATATACCACGAGTAGTATATGTAAAAGAGTGTTGCTTCCATGTTTATATTTCAATTCATGCATGATGCATAGAGTGAATGGGTTTCACTTGCGGTGATAGATGGATAAGTTTGTGCATATTTAGATTATGTGACAGAAGTGAAGCAAAATATCTTCAGTTTTTCAATCAAACTGGATTTTGTTATCTACGCTATTTTTCAAGTATTATGCTTTCAAAATTTTTGACTTCAAAAATTTGAAGAAAACAAAAAAAAAAATTCTGGACCATTATTTTAAAAAATATCTAATTGTCGTATTAATATAAAGAAAAAAGGCTATAAAATGAAAAAAAATGTTCTCTAATAATGATTTGATCATAGTATGTTTCATAAATCGTCTTAAATGCTATGTTTGTTAAATGTAATGCTTTTCAATTTTTTATTTTCATTATTTAATTTCAACTTTGTTTACCTGAATTGTGAATTAAAACTAAAAGAAACTCTGACTAAATTACAACTGTGAACTATGATGACTGATGGCTTTAAGCGACTTTTAATTTTTCAAAGGATTCCTTGAGTTTCAAAAAAAAAAAAAAACACAAAGTCCCCCATTTTAGTCCTAAACACATCTACATGGACCAAATCGAAAATCTCATATATGAACTTTTGCGAAAAATGTTCCTTTTATTTTTCAAACATTTATCATAAGTTTTTCCGACTTGTTGTTGTGTTCCTCTCTTGTTGCTGTTCTTCTTACTAATAAAGTCAAACAGAAATTGTGGTGACATTTACTAGACCTCAAAAGCACTATGCATTGCGCTACGCATTAATGCACTGACTTTGACTATACATTCTACCAACGCAACCAAAAAGTTATTGGTCAATTAAAAGTTTGTCTTAATACGCTTCATTTGACATATGAAAAAAAAAAAAAAAACATAGAGAAAAAAAAAAACTTGGTTATGCAACTCTTGCTATTTGCCATGATGTTGACAGTGTGTCTAACTTAAATGAAGCGAACAAGATGGAAGATGATTAAGTCGAATTTCTACATATTCAATCGGTCGCTATTTGCGGATGTAGGAAATATTTTAAATCATCTTTAAAATATTAATTTGGTTCTTTTTTTGTCGCCTTACATTTTTTTTTTTTTTTTTTTTGATTATCAAAATCATGCTTACATACGCATATGTATCCTCTCTCCTTTTATTTGTGCAGGTATTAGAGAGTTTTTCGATTATTTGGGGCAAGCCTTTCTCGATATAATGTCGATCTCTTCTGTTGAGTCATAAGTTCACCAAATGTTGCCATTGTTTCTTCGTGATACGACGATTTCTTCCAATGATTCAAGTGATTTTTTGTTGAATTTTGGAGAGTAATACCTATGCGTATTTTTAAAAAAAATCTTATGTAATTCTTAGGCAAACAACCAGAAAAGAATATGTGCCACAAGTTGTAAGTGAATGAGAAAAAAATTAGTGTTTCAATTGAGATCAAAATTTTTGCAAGCAACCAATATAGTAAAAGTTCCTTATTCGCGGGGTTAAAATAATGCGATACAAGTCCTCTATTCGCGGCTATAAATTTCTTTATTCGCGGATTCTAATAAGCACCTACATAAGAATAAAAGGATTCTAATAGGTATCCAACCCAAATTCCGTATCCGCGATTTCTGTATTCGCGGCACGTATGCCCCGCGAATATGGAACTTTTACTACATATGTCTTTGTATAGGGATTGACGAGTGTGCCCACGAGGTTTTTGTGTATTCTAAATTGGAAGATGTGAGTACAAACAGCAACCGAATTTAAAAAGACTAAAGTGTATATACGATCCTCTATTACGTGATAAGTTTAGTGATGTATTACGGCCTGCAAGAAGATATGGTGTAACAAAGCTTAAACTATTTCTATTGTAGGGTTATTTGGATAATCGTTGGACGCCAACATTCAATATGATTCGATTCAGGGTCTACGAATATTAAATGCGCTATTGGCAAATTTTGCGGAAAAGATTTTTTTCCTCCACGATAAGCGGGGATAATCAATGCCGTTATATCTACGAGTTGAAAAAAAAAGTTGAAATTCTTTTTAAAGAAATCGTATAATTTTTTTTTTGATTTTACATAATATATAGGATTTCGCCAAAGCATACAATGTCAGATCATGTGTCACGAACTAAACCATAAAATTATCATACCCTATTTATCCCGAGCGAAACAAAACGCATATATATATATATATATTTATATATATATATAAAAGAAAGTTTGTGCATTCAATTTGCTCATTTTATGTATTGCTTTCTTTCGAAT